TGGCCATGGATATAGGTGGCAAAATCTCAGATACAATTAAAATGCAGAGCGGGTTTAAATGGCCAATAGATGGCATTAAATATCTAGGTATCCATATACCAACTTCATTAGAAAAACTGTAAAAACTTAATTACAAAAGTCTAATCCAAAACATTAGCAAGGACCTGGACCAATGAACAATATTGCCCTTATCTCTATTAGGCCGCATTGAAAGTATTCGCATGAATGTGTTACCTAAATTACTATATCTGTTTCAAATGCTACCTATAGACATCCCAAAAATCTCATTTGACAAATTAGACAAGCTAATCTCAACATTTATCTGGCAAAGAAAGCGGCCAAGAATTAGATTAAAAATACTACAGCTATCAAAAGCAAAAGGGGGGCTCAAACTTCCAAATTTGAGATATTATTTTTGGGCTGCGCAATTAAGACCATTAACAATATAATATAACAATATTAGAGAAGCTTGAACAGCAACATAAAAGAAACCCAACCTCCAGCTTACTAAATACTCTTAAAGAAGCACTTATTATTTTTGGGCTGCGCAATTAAGACCATTAACAATATGGATTCAGGACCTGTCATACAGAGTTTATGTGAGAGACCTTTACAAGCCCTGCCATACCTAGGAGCCCACCCAAGTGAAATAGATATGGGGGAATGGACCAAAATTACACTAAAAATATGGAAGACAATGAAACTTAACTTTGGCCTGCCTAAAACAATTTCAGCACTCACAAATATTGGATATATAAATGGTTTTATGCCCTCCAAAATGGATTCAAGGTTCAGAAAATGGTCAAAGTACGGACTCACCAACCTCCATCAACTCCATGATTCTGGCAACTTTAAATAATTTGCACAGTTATCGGAAGAATTTAAGCTACCAAATACGGATTTTTTCAGGTATTTACAGTTAAGGGATTTCCTAGTAAAACATGAAGAATGGGTCAAAGTTGTTAAGCCTACACTAATTGAAGAACTATTAATTAAAGTACAAACAAGGAATTGGGATAAGAAATTAATAAGCTATTGTTATCAAATATTTCTAGATATGAATTCGAATAATACAATAAAAGTTAAAGAGAGATGGAAAATTGAGACTAATTCAACTATATCACTGGATATGTGGGAAGAAATATGTACTGAAGCACATCTGGTAACTAATGCAAATGTGTGGAGGGAATTTAAATGGAAGGTAATCATGAGGTTCTGGACACCTGAAATTTTGGCCAAATTCACACTCAAATAAATGCTGGAGAAATTGTGGCCCACACATTGGCAACCAAACCCACATATTTTGGTTATGCCCAAAATTATAAACATTCTGGGAAGAAGTGTTTGGAACACTTAAAGAAGTATTTGGAAGTAACATTACAATGGACCCTACAGTGGTTCTACTGGGTCTACTACTGAAAGCCATCGAAGGAAGAGCCAAAAAATATCTTCTACAAATACTACTGACAACAGCAATTAAATGCATCACAGTTAGGTGGCTAAAGCCTAACCCTCCAACACACAATATGTGGATTGAGAGAATAAAGGAAATACATCAGATGGAAAAAATAACTTGGAGCCCTGTTATGGGCATACTATGATAATGAAGAATGCCTGTATTCATTCCAAATTGAATCTATGTCATTAATCTGATACTTTTTATTTATTTATGATTCATGGGTATCACTCGTTCTAAAATTGGTTCAGTATAGACCTTTTACACACTAACCGGAAATACGTAGACGGCGGGTAACGTGACTTCCGGTCACTAGTAAACAAAGATGAATACCGGTGTTTCGGATTTACTCGCGACCCTGTTAACTGGCGACCTTCAGCCGAATGCGTCTGTGGTTGTCGTAGTGACAACAGCTGTTTTCAACCAGGAAGAGAACACGTAGCTGTCCTCGCGAAGGCCTCTTTATTCAGTTTTTCATAACAATATCAAAACATAGCCGACCTGATCCGTCTTTGGACTCTTGTTGGAGGAACCCTGTCACGGACCGACACTCAGTCGCGGTTTGAATCACACTTGTTATGACGGAATGTTGAAAACAGGAAGAGGCCAAGTTGCGTTTCCTGTAGCCTAAATCTAACTCCTATCTCAAATAAATTTTCTAAATAGGCCTACACAGTTTCGTCTCTGGTGCCTGCCTAAATAAACATGTGCCATATTAAAGAACCGTTCAGCCCTGTGAAACGTAAAAAAGAATATTTTCACGGGATTCGAACCCGCTTCATTATGGGAAAATAAATTACATGCGCACAATTAACATGGTACACCACTATGACAACAACACTTCACTGACAGATCCATTAAAAATACGACAACATACAGCCAGCTATGTCTTCAAATTGGGAGGTAGCCAGATCAACTTGTGACCACACTGTCCATGCACTGAGGAACATTTTACAATCTCACTACTTTCCAATACAAAAACCAGCGGTTTTAAATCCACTTAATTCATAAACCTAACGTTTATTGTTGTGCTACAGGTCGATAAAGCCAATAGTCATATACTCACGTGGACACACTTTATTTTAAATTAAGCAGTAAAGCAGCAGCTGTATAATAGATTTATCTCTAAGATAAATTATCTATTTATGTTAGCGTACAAATACGACAAACACTAGGCTGTAGGTTATGTGGTATTTAAGTCCATTAACCCCTGCAAAGCGTTTTAGAGTACCGAGGTGAAGTTAGTTTGACGTTGGATATTCGGATATTCATTTTGGGTTCAACAGTGATTTCCTCTCATAGGCAGAAAATAGTGAGCAACAAAGAGAATGGCTAATACCCCCATACCCTATTACTGGACCCAGACACCCCACACCAATGTAGAATGGTTTTGCCAAGTGGGCCTAATAAGGCACACCTCTTTATAAATGGGTTTCATGCTCTATTTTATCTATTATCCAACGGCAAACTAACTTCACCCGGAGTCACATGCAGTGCACCCTTGGAATAACTTGGTCTTGCCATGATCTGAGAAAGTCCCTATTTGCGTAGAATATTAACTTGACTTTTGACACTTTCACTTAGTTCCGATGTTATGTTTCCTACCAGCACAATGCTACCGAGTAAACAATGATCTGCTGGAAACTACAAGCACAGCCACATTAATAAAAGGTGAACATTGAATGCAAGTTTAGTTACATGAATGACAGCCAGATGAGTACATCAAATCTACTTGTGCGTCATCTCAAGGAAATATGACCTTTTGGCCAAAGGAGTTGTGGTTATGTTGCAGGATCTTACTTGTTTCTTCACTGTACATGTTTGGTATACCATATAGCCTACCATGTGT